CCAAATCGAGAAAATTTGACTCTATTTTTTTTTGGTCTGCGAACACAGAAGACCGGGTAAGGAATTCTATTAACCCGGGAGAAGGTATGAGGCACTCCCGAGTTCCGTGGTTTTAGCACGGTCGCTTAACTAGTAATAATTGGCCTAATTATCTGATTTATACATATTTGAAACCTATTGTGCATTTTTATCTTTTAACCACTTTTAATATTTATGAAATTTTGTTTGAACAAGTCGCGATGTCGCGCGCTCGTTTGTTTTTGTACACATTGCGAATCGGGCCACGTGTAACGTACCCGCCATTTACAACATATAAATTTTTATTATTATTTGAAGTTATGGATATGTCACATGAAATGCACATCCGAATTGGGATTAGGTATCATGACTATGCCACGGGAACCGTACCCACAGTCACGATGATTTATTTATCAATCGCGCCTAAAACAAACTACGATATTTATGAGTATTTCCTAGACTTTGAGATTACATGTAGAGGTCTATAGTTATGGAATTATTTGTGGACAGAGTGAATCTAAAATGATCCGTCTAACACAAATTTAGCCTTGTTGTCCTAACCCATAACTATATGAATTAATTAAATCACTTAAATTAAACTAGAGGCTAGGCCCAACGTTTAGGGAACTGGGCCAAGCATTCCAGCAGAAATGCACCAATTACAATTATGATGATTTGCAAACAAAAATTACGAAATCAGGAGTCGATCATTCAGCATTCTTCACATCGCCTTTGAATATTTCGATGTCCGAAAATTAATTCATCACACCAAGGAGCATACTTAAGATCATATGATAATAAACAATTGTCAAAGACTAATTCTTTTACATTGCGAGTTAAATTGATTATTACAGACCTTAACAATAAATGAATTCTGAACAATTAATTCTGCTCATACAAAATAGCTTACACTTTCATTTTTCAACTTTTGAAAACTCCGCCTAGAATTATCATGAATCTCTCGTCCTAAGAAACACAGTTGAATTTCATAGCAACAAACGGCAAACTACCAATTCGTATCAAATAAAACTAACGGCTAATGAGAAATTGGCGAATCAAACTTAACTAAGCATCATATATCATACTGAAGTCAACAACAAATCCAAACAATAATTTGTTCATGTTAAGCTACAGAATCAAAATACATGCTCAGTTTTCTCTAATAAAAAGGTTTACATGTTCAATAAGCCCAAACCTACTCATTGTGGGAGGCACAGTAACAAGAAAATATTTAGGGATGTATATAAATTTCAACCAACTCATAGCATAGGGATGTTCAACTATATTTACATTTCAAAGTTGAAATTAGTACCTGAAGAGAAGCAGCAGAGCAAAAATTTAAGAAAATAAGTCTCTGAAATTGGGGTGAAGCAACAGCAATATCCAGACAGCAGCAGTAAACACAGCAAAGAAATGGAGCTAAACCAAACTCCAAAAACCCTGAAAAAAGCAAATAGTAGAAGAATGATGCCCAATATCAAATAATGAAGCTAACTGGAGATTTTTTAGTTTTCTAACATTTTTCTAAAGGTAGAAGGCTAGAATTCCAGAAGTTTTTGAGAACAAAGAAAAGTCTGAAAACCTCTCTGAATATGCAGGAATTAGGGTGTATTCATGTGTGAAGTCTGAGAGGAAAATGCTGAGTGAAAACCGTGTGTTGGTGAGAGGAATCTAAAAAATACAAAAACAAATATCTATGTAGTGAGGAATGTGTTTTGAATGAGATAGATGGGAAAGAGAAGAAGGAGAGGGGGGAGGCGGCTAGGGTTTTAAAAATGGGGAAGGTCCTGAGAGAGATTGAAGATGGAGCAGAGGGGGTGCGCCGCTACTTGTTGAAGAAGTAAGGGGGTCCGTTCTCTGTTGTGGTTCAGCCTCTCAGGGAGAGTAAAATTAGGGTCTCCTCTAATAGAGTGGGGGAGAAGAGTATGGGCCAGACTATGGGGTGGATTGTGCTTCTAAAGGTATGGGCTTGAAACAATTATAAAATTAGTCACTTTGGACTCAAATTTTAATTAAAATCAATTTGTGTGGCTAAAATATTATATATATTTTACTCACTAAGTGACTAATGACCTAAATAATTAACTAACCTAAGAATGCATCTTCTTTTTTTTTGTTTCTAGATATTTATATAATGCATTTAACAATATAATTAAATTCTAAAATGTAATTTAAAATCTAAAATGCTATGAAATTAAGATTTGGATATTTTTTATGATTTTTATGATTTACGATATTCCTAACATGCATAAACAATGCGAATAAATGCAAAATAAATAAAGAAAAACTTTTAAAATTCATAAAAACAATTAAAATTATTCTTGGATTATTTTTACGAGCAACTTCCTATGTAAGGCAAAAATTAGGTGCTCACATCCTTCACAACAGAGTGCTTGGATCCAGAGAGGTCAAGCAGAGCAAGAGTTGTGTTGATCTTTTCAGCAACATCGCTTCCTCTTTCGGGTGCGTTTGTAAAAAATCTTGCTCCTTTTGAGGATGAAGATCCGAAAACAGGGGTTGATGCTTACGGCACATGGGGTGCTTGTTATCCTAACGAGTTTACTTTTCTCCTCGTAACTGGTCCAAAGCTTTCAAAAGTAACATCGAGGAAGCTTTCCACATCAGCATAGAACCTGGAATTAGCAGCCTTGGTGGAAGTCGAGATGGAGTTGATTTTCTTTGAAGCCATTTCAATAATCTTAAACTTTGGTGATTAAAAAATTGAGATGAGAGGTAGATATTGTTCCACTGGGCATGCCAGAATTTGTAGACAATAAATTGCGTCGAGAAAATAAAATCAAGACCGAAAAATATCGCAACAATCGTAGTATTTGATTTAAAATAATATGAGTGTACAATCTCTATGAATCCTCTTATTCTTCTTTTTAATAGTAAATAAATTCAAGGGCCTTTGAGCTTGAGCTTGAACCTATATTTGTTGTCACGAACGATGACCTTGAATTCAACTAGCACGAACTTTGATTTGAACTCGTACTCCTTGAATCTTGATTTGTTCTTTGTTCTTGAGCTTGAGCTTGATTGCTTGAACTTGAACTTGATTTATTCTTCGTTCTTGAGCTTGAACTTGATTTGTTCTTCGTTCTTGAGTTTGAACTTGAACTTGATTGCTTGAAGCTTGAAACTTGTGGAAGAATTTGTAGCGTTTGATCCACGAGCTCTTTCTTGCTTCTTGTTATAACTTCTGGTGTCTTTTCTAAGTTATAAAGACCCCTATTTATAGTTATGGGAGGAAAGAGTTATGATAAGAACAAACTCTTTCCGACCAATTAGATTGAAGAGTGACAAAGCCGCATTTGATTGGCCAGAACATGTCACTCGCACATGTGGCGTGGTTTCATTGGTCTTTTAATTTGACTTGGCATGCCTTGTCATTTTGACACGTGGCATGATCCTAATGACTCTTTCGTTTGACTTGGCGTGTCACGTCATTTGACACGTGGCACCAAACTGGGCCTCTAGGAAGATGGCATCATGGGCTTAATGAAGTGGGCTCATTAGTTTAGCCCAATTAAATGGGCTAGCCCAATGAATTTGGACTTATTTATTTAATCCGTATGTATTGGACTTATATAATTAATCCAATTATATTAGCTCGTAATATTTATTTGGACTACTATATTTAAAATATAGTCCAAATTATTTTTAAATTTTGTTCCGATAAAATTGATATCTTTACAGTCTTGACTGATTATCATATCTGGTCGCAATCTCCAAATAAGATTCCATCTCTTAGACAAGATGCAAGTTCAAGCTTCTTCTTTTGGCCCGTATCGACGACGGATACAACGTAAAATGTCATAAATTATGTGTACAGGCAACTCCGATATTCTATCATCTCCATCAACTATTTGCGCCATAATTTTGAGCACAAGTTGAACCTTAATTTATGTTTTTGGAATTACAGGCTTGTTTTAGCGGCCGGCTTATAATAAAAACCCAAGCTAGCTTATATATTATGGTAAATATATACTTACGTTTGGTCACAACTTTCTATAAAAGTTGACAACTTCATTTTTCAGGGCATGAAGTTAATTTCCAAAGTTAAAACATGGTTTATGTATGAACTATTACTTCCGCCATTCTAAGCAGAACTAAATCAAACATTTTAATCCGTATATATAACTAAGCTTTACCCTTTAAAAATATATTTTATAAAAATAATTGTCATTTAATTATTTTTACAAAAATTGTAATTTAATTATTTTTTTCTCTTAATCATGTTTAGCACACTTGTTTAATTACGCAAATTAAGTTTGGACATTTGATTTAAATAGCATAAATATCACTTTAATTTGATCCGCATCAAACTCTCACAAAAAAGGGATCCAGAGTCGGATCCCATTTACTACTGGCGACTAAGAAACCTTTAATTTCTAGTCACCAACAAGAGCTAATTTTTCTCCTTTTATTTATGATCATATATATATATATATATATATNCAAAGCAATATAACAGTATTAAAATAATTGAATATAAGTTGGAAGAAGTACGTAATATTCAAATATAAGACGTTAAAATTTTGAAATATTTAAAGAGTAAACAAAATTTGTCAACAAAAAGAAAACGAAATTTTCCTAAAATATTTACAGTTCATGGACTTGAGTCTTGGGAGGAAGTAATAAAGGCTGACCCACTTTTTAAAAATTGGAAAGTTAATTTCATGTCCGGAAAAAGGAAGGAAATCGTTTCCTAGTCAGCTTTCACATATCGAAAAGGTTTTCTCCTTTTTTGGCTGAGAACATATGGAAAAGTTATGACTATGACAGAATAAACTTAAACTCTTCTTTAAAATTAGGATTTATAGTCAAACTTTTATGGAAATAAGTTCTCTAGTCAAGTCGAAGTAAATTTTGTATTACTATAAATAGAGGCATTATTGATATCTTCTATATAGCCAATGCTGAATCGTTTGTTTGTTGTAATTTAATTTTTTTGGTGTTTGATTCCCTTCGAGAAAATTATGGGTGAAATAGTTGATGGAATGGATAGAATATCAGAGTTGCCTGTACACATAATTCATGACATCTTACGCCGGATTCGAAAATTCGGACTAGAAGAAGAAGCTCGAACTTGCGTCTTGTCTAAGACATGGAGTTCAATTTGGAGAATGCGACCTGATGTGATAATCAGTCATTACAGCCACAAGAGCTTGTCAGATAATTTGGAGAATTTTGTGAAATTTGTTGATGATTCCTTGCGGCCTTATGCCGAGCTAAGCTTGAGAATTGAAAAACTTAGCCTCGAACTTAGCCTTGAACATCCGGAAATGGCTTCTCATATTGATCGCTGGTTGAACTTGGCAATTAAACATAATGTCAGATCTCTACAACTTTTTCCAACGTTTAATTTGAACTATAGCATACCTGATGCTATTTATGCAGCTAATAAGACGCTGACTGAATTATCGCTACGAAGGTGCAAATTTGAAATATATAATAGCACCAGTACCACCAACAAATTGCAACGATTAATTAGTACGTGTCCGTTTATAAGGGATCTAAATATAAGTAATTGCACGGGAATCAAGAATTTACGTGTTTCTGGCCTAGTAAATCTGGAGATATTGGAGCTAACAGAGTGTGAAGGACTCGTAAAAGTGGAAGTCCAGGCTCCAAATCTTCGAAAATTTGTTTATGTTGGTGTCCCTTTGGATATGTACCCGACGACACGTGAACCAGAATCGCTGCCTTGCACAATTGATATTTTAGATGGTTATAAGACTCTACAATTTCTCAAATTGGAAGCTACTACCATGACGGACCAGGAGTTTGAATATCAGTTGTCTAAGTTCCCAGCCCTTGAAGTTTTAGACCTCAGGGGATGCTATATAATGAAAAATATAAAAGTTGTGAGTGAAAAACTTAAGAGTTTCACCTTATGGAATTGGACGAATCTGGAGCAAGTCAATATGATGGCTCCAAATCTTATGGAATTCAAATTTGAAAGTGGTAAAACATGCATGCCCTTCTCAACTATGGATCCTTCTAACCTGGAAATGGTCAATATCAATTTTTATCCATATTCTTCAAATTCTTGGAACTTTGGAGATATGGACAGAAGTTGGTATAGTAATCTTCAAGACTTTGTTCAAAAGTTCAACTATTCGAAGGGACTGATATTAGTATTTTATTGCAAAGAGGTATTAACTTCTTTTTTCTCTTTCACCGGTGTAATTTATATCTCTGCGTAATTGATTTTCCTAACAGTTTTCTCCACTGTATATTAGACTTCAAATATTGCTTTAGTTGATTTATGCATTCGTCTAGCTGTTTAATTAACTTGTTTGGGGTTTGTACAATACATGCAGGATAAGAGTATTCTTATTTATGAAGATCCAAGAGAAATTATTGTTCCACCAACTCGAGAACTAGAACTATGCATTAAGAATCCTTCGATGTATCCTAAACAATTCGCACATGATCTGATGTTGTGGCGCCCCAACATAATATCCATAGTGCCATGTACAAAGAGTAAAATGGTCCAGGTATAAACCTTATACATTACATTATACTATGCTAATATTTTTATATGCATGAGTTCATATTCTCACACGGTCACACATAGTTCCTAGGCGCATATATGCACATGTAAGTAAAAACCACAAATATTATATTGCATAATTGTTTCATTATCATAAGAATTTGACCTATGATTTTGTCTTGTTTGCATAGTACAATTTTCTAAGAAAAGACATTGAATTGAACCCCTTTCCCTATATTTTAATTTGATCCATCCTTTATAGTATATATCTAAGATTTTCACACATTTGGAATAACAGGTATTCCATGAGAGAAGAACAACATACATGGAGAAACAAAATGGAAGATTAAATGAAGTTATTAATCACAAAGGCGCAGTTGAGGATTGCGGAACGTCCCGGTTCTACTCTTGGCTGAAATCCACTCCCCTAATTCAACGGATTACTACTTTTATGTTTAAATGGAAGGAACCCCCTTTCACCTAGTCTTTTTTTTCTTTCATAATTAATACTAATAGCATCTGTTGCGGCCAAACACACTCACGCAAGTATACGTGGTCGTCAAGTAATAGAGTAGTGAATAAAGTATCATTCCCACAAAGACTTATGATTAACTTTTGACTAATTCAAACTCGAATAGCTTATCGATTCAAATTATTTCTTACAAAATAGATAATTTTAAAATTTCTACCGAAAGACTATCAAGTGATAAAATACTAGGAATCAACCACAACACTTAAATATTTTTTTAATAACAATCAATAGGATATAATATTCCAGGGTCACGGGTTATCTAACAATCATGTTGTATGCTTAGTTTAAAATAACTAATTGATTTATCTGGATTGTTGATTCACAGGGTTGATATTACTCATAAGAATCTGTCGAGTCCTTACTCGCCTATTCAAGCTAACTCAATACATATATGTCTATGAAATTAAGATTAACAAGAACGCACTTACAATTCCTGTATTGCAACCGAGTAAGGCAATTAGGTATATATCTATCCTAATTGCGAATCCGTTCCCCGATGCCCGGGTTTAAGAACTTGTTCTATTTAATTCTATATGCAATCTAGAGTTCCCACTTTCGAGTTCAACTCTAGATTCGTAGATAGGATTTCACTGTTAGCTACTCAGCAAAATAATTAAAAATAGAATTAAATAAACAACCCAATATGATAAAATCAACTTCGTCAAATTAAACTTCAAACATCAACATTCATGTATACCCATGACCCTAGAACAATAGGTTTCTTAACCATTCATGTTCATACAATCATCAAAAATCATGTTTTCAAACATAAAATCAATGAATACTAAGAAAGGGATGGAAGAATTGATCAAATCCTTGCTTTTGAGTGTTTTGTGCCTCCTCCCTCCTTTAAATCACGGTCCCCCCCCTTTAAAAATAAGTTTAGGTTGGCTTTTATATGAGTTGGGAGCGTCTAGGGGTCGAAATAACCGAGTCCTAGTCAAAAAAGAATACTTCCCGTCTTGAGCGTCCAGGGCAGCGTGGGGCGCTGGCCCTGGCGCTCAAACTCTTTGTTCTCTGTAAAGTGCGCCACAGCCAGCGCCCCACACTGGCTGTGGCCCTCAAATTTTCATTTTTGCGATTTTGTCCCGATTTCGCTCCAATTCGCGCCCTTTCGTCCCAAATTGCATCCGAATAATTCATACACATAGAAATACCAAAATTTAGCACAAACAATCATATTAAACATCTCAAATCGTCGAGACATGAGTAAAATGTGAGGTGATATATATCAAAATATGCATACATTAAGCCGATTATGAACACCCCACACTTAGACTCTTGTTCGTCCTCGAACAATGGAACTATATTAGCACCCCCAAAACGTACTTAGCGCTATGAAAGAGGACCTCACAATTAATTCACTCAAATAACCTACTTTTTGACTATGATCGATGTCGGCAATTAAGCATGGACACACAAATTTCACTTTCTTCCTGTTTTTAAATAGCTCAAGTATACTCAATGTTTTTCAACCAACTTAAGCAACCTCTCCACAACCACCTTACCTCAAGAGAAGACTCGTTACCACTAAGCATCCTCAACACATGCACTTACCCAACACAAGAAAGTGTACAATTTCACCAATCCGTCATGAAATCAAGTGCCCTCACTACAAGCAAAAGAGTGAATATCAAAGTAGTCCATAAATTTAAATATGTCATTGAACATAAATTAAGGACATCACACAATTGAACAACATTCACTCACTCTCACAAAGAATTCATGTGCATCCCGTGGTCGTACCATAAGCTTGCCCGTAGTGTACATCTCTACTAATCTAAGCTAGCTAAATCTAGGATCAATTAGGACTTTAAGGTTGTAATGTAGGCTAAGGGACGGGTAGGATACATTTAGGAATAGTGACTAACCCTCCTAAGCACTTTAATACACTACACTCACAATTCAAGCGCAATTGCTTCGCAACCCATTCACTTGTCATACACCATAACTAACATAGCCCTCTTTTCCGTCAAGCACCTCTATGGTTTCACTAGTACGAGTGAGAAGGATTAGGAGGTGTGTATTTCTACATTATTTAAACTTTTGTTTTCTCTTTCTTGCAAAAATTTTTCTCTTTCTTTTTACACACTCCATACATTGAAGTTCATAAGCCAGTGACCTTTATTCACAATTTTAGTGCACCTTAAGGGCCCTTCCATGGTTCCACTTGAAAGTCACTTCCCAATCTCTCACCTTACTTCTTCTAGCGACTAAGTGACTTAGGAGGTAAAGGTTCAACAATCTCACATTAAGAACAAAGTAGGAGTACGGCTTGTAATGTGGGTGCCAAGGAAGCGGTCTATAGGCTCAAAGGGGATAGCAATGAAAAAATTCTATTTGTCAGTGACAAACACCTTTATGGTCAAGCAAGAAATGCCTATGTCATCTCCTAGACTAGCACAACTTAATGATTTTGCGTTGATTAACACACAGGTCAAGTTCTAGACTACACAGGGTAGCACAGAATATCAACAATCCTTACACACACATGGCACTTGACTCACTCAAGACGGTTATGTGTGACTCTCAGGTCAAGCAAGCATATCAAGTTGAGAATTCTTTAAGCAACACTGCACTAGGTGGCATACAAGTCAATCAACTGAGAAAAAAGAGTCAAAGAGTAAGCTACTTAATTTACTTGGGCATTACAATTCAAATCATATATGCAGGAAGACAGAGCGCATGCCCTAACTTAACTTGCCAACACCAAACATGTCAACAGGTACCTCAGAGCAATCTCAATTTTATCCCTTATCCTACTTCTAAAAAAAATAAAACAAAACACCCGGTTCGAGCTACACCCTTGGAAAAGAACCGGCATCCAAATAAAAACCAAGGGATACTACCTAACTATCAAAAATAAAACAAAAGAAAATCTTTTTGGTAATTTTAATCGGACTTTAATCCCTCAAGAAAATTTTCCAATAGATCCATCGTCGGAAAAAGTTCCAAGTTTTTGTTAATTTTTTTTTTTAGACTATGTTAGTCTTAAACTAAGCTAAAAGGTGATAAAAGAGAGAGAATTTTTTTTTAATAACCCTAAAAATTATATACATTTCAAGGAGAATTATACAATTCAAGGAGTATTTCCTCCACCCCACACTTAAATGATACATTGTCCCCGATGCTTAATAAATTCAAAAATAAGGTAAGGTGGAAAGAAAGAACTCCCTGTTAGTCGGAGTCTGCCTCATCAGGATGCCAACCAGCTGCGGCAATGGGCTCATCATCATCTCCAAAGGGTACCAAAGCCATTGGTCCCATATCTTCATCATCATCCGCATTATCAGATTCGTCGTCAGTGTTTTCATCCTCAGATGGATGAACGGGACTACCCGGTGCTATGCCCAACATCTCCTTGGAAGAACTGGAGAGATCACTACGCATATGCGTGCGCTCCTCATCTGACACCCCAAGCTTGCTCATAATAACATTGAGGGATTTGTAAAGATACCTGTTAAAATTTTCGTCCCTCTCATTCCTAGCAGCTTGGGTGAGCTTGGATGTGGGTTCTACCATGGATGTGATGTCTAACAATGATGTGGGTGCCTCCACTACCTCATCATAGCCAGGGTACTCTGGTACCCCACGAGAGAGCATGTATTGTGTTAAGGTGTTGCCAAAAAAAAAACCTTTTTATCCTTCCTCCAAAACGGGTACGGGTCATCTCCCAAGCATGAGCTCACCCATATTTATGGGGCTCCCGGTCATCAAAAAGTAAATCACACACACTCGAGCTCGAGTGCACTCAGTATTATGTTCAACGGGCATTAATCTAGCTTGCACAAAGTTTTGCCAAACCTTGGCCGTTTTGTTGAAGTCGAAACGGAGCATTTCAAGGTGAATATTTCCCTTAGTTCGTGTCCATTTTGCATTAGAATCAACGCCACAAAGAATGTGACGTATTGCTTGGTAGCTTGGACTTTTGACGAACTTTCGAAGCCTTCGTGGGTTAGGACTATCAACTCCCAAAAAATGACACAAGGCTTCCCTATCTATTGGAATTTCCTGTCCTCTGACCCACGACATGTCATTTTTCTCGTTCTAGTTGGCATATAACTCTCTTACCATGCTGAGATTTGCCGGGCCCGGACATTCGAGGAGCTTATTCATCTTCTTTTCAATCAATGTAGCAAGTACATCTGGGAAGTTCCATTCTAAAGCTTTCACATTTA